CCGCTCTTCTGAGCAGCTTTTCTCGCCCCGGAGCTCGAGGTGGCTGACCGCTGCCTGTGAGCTCCGGGGCGAGAGAGCCCCGTTCGTAAGTCGGGGACTGCCTGTAATTGTCTTATGAATTTCAGAGCTGCAACAGAAACCAGGGTGATCTGTGCCACAAAAGCTTCAGGGGGTAGCCGAGTTAGTCTGTTACAGGAAAAAAACAGCAAGCAAATGGTCTGGTAGCACTTTATAGACTAACAAAACATGTAGATGATGGTATGAGCTTTCGTGGGCACTGCCCACTTCTTCAGATGACCGGAGTTATGTCACCAAAGTTAAGTCAATTTTTCCATAAAAGTTCTTTCATATTTAAGGAAAATGGCCAGACATCTGAGAGTGTTCAGTCTTTACTGACCTGCTGCTCTGTGTGTGACTTGGATCTAGAAAGCTTAGGAGGTGGTATCGCTGAGGTCAGTGTATTAATTTCTCCTGTTCTGCAGGTGCAAGTGTAATGGCCATGCAAGCGAGTGTGTGCAGAATGATTTTGGGAAGCTATCCTGTAACTGCAAACACAACACCTTTGGGGTAGACTGTGAGAAGTGCCTTCCCTTCTACAATGATCGTCCATGGAGAAGAGCAACAGCAGAGAGTGCCAGTGAATGTTTGTGTAAGTAGCTTTATGCAAGAAAAATCTTTCTATGGTACTATCAGCCAACTACAAGTCTTTTTAATATTCTGTAGTTTCTCCTTTTCCCTTTCTTCTAGCGAATCCCAGTTTCTTCTTTCTTACTCTGTCCACGCTATAGTCTGCATTTTAAACAGCTGCAAACACTTTTATGCCTGTAAGTGTTTGCATGGTCACTCAGTGTAGTTGCAACCCATGATGAGTCGGATTTTCAAAAGCACCCAAAGTCTTGAGTGTAAGTCTCTCATTGGCTTTCCCTGGAGCTGTCATGGCTCCACAGAGCATGGCCCATGCCATTGCCTATAACCGGCCTTTTGGGAGTGACCTTTTTAGTGTGCCAAACCCCAACGGCCCATGCAGTTCCATGGGAGCCCACCCATAGCCTCCAAGACTGGGCCTTCTGGCATCAGTGGCACTGTCATTCCATGACTCCTTGCAGGAAACCTAGCCAAGCCAGATTCCTGCAAGAATCTTGTCCTGTACCCCCTTCAGGGCGCAATGTTCTCAGTGAGTTTTTGCAGTGACACCAGGCAATCTCTTCAAAACAGAGTACTGTAGGATTTATTAGTCACGTGACACAGAGAATCAGAAAGTCCTTAAGTCAGTGAAGAGAGGCAGAGATTAAACTCTAGTGTATCCAGGCCAAGCCCTGCAAAAAGCTAGCCAAGCTGCTATGGACTCCATTTCTCTCTCTGGCTCTTCATCAGTTCAAGGTGAGTGTTGCTGAGTCCCTCCAAAAGCCAGCTCTTAACCCTGCATTCTGATACCTCTTGGTCCAATGTTCTCCAGATGAGGCCTCTGCTTCCCTCCCAAGAGGTGTGTGAGAACCTCCTTTCTCTTGTTACAGACTAACCTAACTCAGCTACCCCTCTGAAGCTTTCTCTTGATGGTTGTTAGGTGTAATGTGTTGCCCATGGGATTTCCCGTTGTCTTTTTCAGATTCTCTGTTGATACAGGTCAGTTTTAGCAGGCTTCCACACAGGGGGTGTGTTCTTACCGTAAAACACCTTCTGGAAAGTAGAATTGCTTCATACAGTAGTTGCTCACCACAAAATTAAATGGACATGGTGCTTAGAAGGTCCCCGAGGACAGAGGAAATGGGATTCTTTCTGGTATGCCATTTACTGCAGGCCCTGATGAATGCAGTGGCCTTGTAACTGAAGAGTTCCACCAGTATTCAGTGACCTCTTCCTTTTTCAGTCACAGTTCTTCTGGTCCAGAGTATTCAGATTTCATCTAGGTCCAAGCTATTGCAAAGGTGGGGTGGTTCTAATTTCTCTCTTAAAAGCAAGCCAACTTATTTGTGTGGTCTCCCGTTAGGAGTTATTGCTCCTAGTACTGTAAAAGCTCTGTTATCTGGAGTGTTGGCGGAATGGGGGAGGGGTGTATGCCAGTTAACTGGATATTCTGGTTAACTGAGAGTTGTACATTACCAATGGAATATCAATTTTCAAAGAATTAGAGTATAAAACAGCATACAGGTACTCACCAATCTAGTAGTAGTAGTAGTACTGCTCTGCAGAGAGGATGGTTTCTTGAAGCACTTACGTGTATATGGGTAACGTTTCTATACAGTAGGTTATTTTATGACATTACAGATCACCATGGGCATTGTATGACATACACTAAGATTAAAATATTATCAGTATATTTATCTTGGATTCAGAAGGCACTTCAGGATCTTGCAGTGCCTCAGGGACATCAGTATCAATTAGTTAGTGTAGATCAGGCTGCATTTGTAATGATCCTGTGACACACTTGGCAGCTGCTTTTTTGAATAAATCCCTGATTTCAGCTTGCTTACTTGTCTTCTGCCTCTTTTACTCAAAAGTAGAGTGCAGAATGTGCAGTTGCATAATGTGCTGAGCAGTATACTAACCCCGGTTACTAGATTGAAGGTTTGTATTGGGGAATACCAGTAATGCCACTTAAATGAGGGCTGGATAGCAGAGCTTTTACTGTAGTTTGCTTAGGGGGGTCAGATGGGAGAAGAAATTCAGACAGAAAATCTTCTTGGCTATTAAAAAGTCCCAGCAATTGATGTGAGTACTGTAACTTCAGTTGGCAGCCCAGTGAAACCAATGTCTTGTTCTACCTTACTCCCTACACATAAGGAATTGGAAATCTGTCTGCACGAGGGGGAGAAGAAACTTTTCACAGGCCTTTCTGAAAGGCTTGCGTCACTATTATCTTCTCTCACTGTTTTGCATGCCTGAGACAGTATTACTGTGTGGGAAGGCAGTAGGAAGGCTGGAAAGCTACAGTCCAGCTGGCCAGGGAATGAGCATGGAAACTCTAGTATTTCTCCTGATATATGTAGAGAGCAATGTGTTTTAGGCAGAGCATTTAAGACCATCATCTTCCTACTAGTAAAGGGAAGAAAACCAAATAATACTGGCTTGTGCTGTTGTTTTGATTGATCAGAATAGCAAGAACAGAGTTGTTTAGATTCCATCTGTCTTTGCCGATTAAGTCTGTGTAGCTATATCCCTATCACACACGAACACAACTCTCTGACTCTTTGTTCCATGTACAACTTTTCCCGAACCAATCACTCTTCTGCTGACTTTCCTATACCTTGTTTCTGGGGCAGGCCTGCTATTCTGGATGAACCTACTGAACCTTGTGCTTTTCCCCACAGCTTGTAACTGCAATGGGCGATCACAGGAGTGTTACTTTGATGCTGAACTGTACCGCTCCACAGGCCACGGTGGTCACTGCATTGGCTGCTTAGATAACACTGATGGTGCCAACTGTGAAAGGTGCCGGGAGAACTTCTTCCGCCTCGGGAGTGAGGAAGGATGTCTACCATGTAACTGTAACCCCGTTGGTAGGTCCAGAGGCAGAATCTTCTCTCCTGTGAACTATTTAAAAAAAACCTGCTATTAAAATTTTTTTGTAAAACTTTGCATAATGTTTTAACAAAGTATTAACTTTAAAAACATCAAATTAGTCTTTAAGGTGCTACTAGTCTATTTGTTGTTTTTTTAAATTTTTCCTGTTACAGACTAACTCAGCTACCCCTCTCAAGGTATAGTATTAACGGATAGTATTTCAACTTAGATTTGTTAGTTAACCAGCTCATATTTTGATCTGATTGCTTCAGTGAAAATGCACAGCAGCCAAGATCATAGACTTTAAGCAGAAGCTTTGAACATACAGAATAGTTCCTTTTCCAAATGCATTCTAAAAGGGTGTTTACTGTGTATTATTGGACGAGGCCCTGAACCAGGGGTGGGCAAGAGGTGGCAAGTAGGTTGCATCTGGCCTGCCAAGCCTCTGGATCTGGTCCTTGGCTGCCTCTCCAGCACCCTTACTACAGAGCAGGAGCAGCTGCTTTAAACAGCAGGCTGCTAATTGCTATGCAATCTGGGCAGGGAAGGGAAAGCGTTGCATGCTATCCTGGCCCCCTAGCAAAATCGCCCAGCTCCCATTGCCCATTTTCCAGCCAATAGGAGCTGAGAAATTTTGCTGAAGGCAGGGGCAGCGAATGAAGCCTCCTCACTCCATCCCTGTGCTGGAGCAGAGCCTGCCTAGCACACAGGCAGGGAATCTAGAGAGGTGCTGGCTGGGAGCCACCTAGGTAAGTGCCTCCCAGCCAGATCCTACCTATGGCATACAGACACACACACTCTGCCTCTGCCCCAGGCCACCACCCAACCCTGTATCCCCTCTTCCCACCTCCTCGAGGTCACAACTCCCTCCCAGATCCTGCATCCTTCCTACAGGCCAGAATCCTCTCCTGAACCCATAACCCCTCCTAGACCCAGCCCCCCCTCCCCCCAGCTCCTGCCCCAGATTATAACCCCCCCTTCATCTAAATTCCCTCTCAGACCCCACATTCCCCCATGAACCCCAGTCCTCTATCCCAACCTCCCTTCTACACCCCACCTGTTGTCACAGACCCTGTCACCCCTCCACGGAAGTGTGGCCCTTGACCACTCTACCAAAATCTTGGAATGGCCCCCCATTACAAATTATTGTCCATCCTAGCCCTGAACACATCCAGTAGGTGAAACTTTGGAGCTGTTACAGTCTGGCAGAATTCTTTGAAATCACCTGGCAATGGTTTGAATATATTGTTTTATTAATGGATGGATGAATCAAGACATTTGTGGTGGTGTATCTAAGGAATGGGGAAAACAAAAAGGACAGTTGGACACTAAGGTAAGAGCTGATGATCCAAAATAGACCAGCTAAAATAAATTAGGTCTAGCACAGTCCCTCACTAGTTGCCTTAAGACCATGTTGCAGGCACTATCTCCCTATGAACTCCAGGAAGGGAGTCCTACATTCAGGAAACTTTTGACCAAGAAAGACATGCCCCAAACTTTTTTTCCCTGACCCCACCCCCATGCTCTCCCTGAGCCAACTGTAAATGTCCAGCAGGGACATGGGAAGAAGAGTAATTGCTCAGGTATATAAAAGCAATCTGTTTGATCAAGAACTCCTCCTAAATGATAGGGGCTAGGACCATCACATTTGGTATGCAGCTTCCTCTGATCATAACTTAAAGCAACTTAAGGGTTTGGTTGTGTCAGGAAAACAGAATGTGCCTAGAATGGGATTGCTTCTCATGAAACCAAATAGAAAATTGCTTCTCAGGAAACCAAACAAATTCACCAAATCAAGTAGTTTTCAGAATTGACATAACTGAGCAAATGTTGACAGACTCATCCTATTCTTCTGGCTCGTCTGTGTTCAGTCTGGAATAAGATTGCTTCTGAATAAACCTTCAAAAAGGAGATAAAATGAAGAAATGTGGAGTAGGGCTCTGTTTTGGCATAGCTATATCAATGCTTAAGGTTTGAAAACTAGAAAACAATGTTATTGGAAACCAAATTGACTAACTTTTTTGTTGGTGAATAAGAGTTTGTAGGGATGAAAAAAATACACTTGATGGAATTTCCATTTTAAAAAAGTTACTAAAATAAACTTCATAAGAATAACACTGTATTTTTTAAAAAATACAATTATTTCAATAAAACATATACATTTTCCATTTATTTAAAAAAACAGAGTTAAGGATCTAAGCAATACCAGGTAAATCTGCTCGTAACTTATTACTAAACCCTTGACTCTTGGCTAGTGTATGCTGGCATTCATTGTATAATAAGTGTGAGGGGCTGATTTAGGGTAGGTTATAATTTTTTACAAAATCAGTACTTGGATAGATTGGCTCACACAGGGAGTTTGAATTTTGTGTATGGGCAAGATTTTGTGAGTTCTTTAATGTTAATGATTCTGTCTGATTTAATCCTCTTATTATTGTTTCACTTGCTGTTATCTCACCTTTTGGCACAGCCTGAAGGAGCAGGCAGAAGCTGTTCCTTTTTATACATAAAAAGTTATGGTATTTTACATATTTGCTCATTTACTAGCCCATAGAATGCAGACACTTTCCAGATTGCTAGCCAAACAAATGCTTGGGAGAAAACATTCAGTCTTCAGATAAAGAAGCTGAGTAAACTGTCTTCACAACCAAATTCAGGGAGCATGCCTGTGTTCCTTTTCACAAGGAAAAAAGTGGTCAAAATTTTTTTTCAGATGCAATTTTATGAAGTGTAGCTTTAAGACAAGTCCCTGCTAAAAACGTGAGGCTTGCTTTGGAGTCCCTTAGACATTCCTCCGCCAATCCTCAATACTGTTCGGTTAGCTTTCAAATTCTACTGCTGTAGTGCAATACAGAAAAGTTGGGAAGAGTCCAGGGTGGCTGAAAAAAAGACCTGCATATATATAGTCTGTCCCTGAGCATGGGCTAGGAGAGGGTGCCTATTGGATACTATCTCTGTGCGAGCTAGCAGCACTTGTAGACTTGGATGGGACATGAGGCAAAGATGTGTCTGTACCAAAAAGGAATCTTTGTGTGAAGGAAATTGATCAGAGGGTACCCAGGCAAAAGGGAAATGAAGATGATTGGAGAGCAAAGAAGAGACTTGGGAAAAGGAGGGTGGGAAGTAGACTGGGAGTGCTGTCCTAAGGGAAGGCTTGGCATAAATTGGAATTGCAGAGGTAAAACAGGTTGGCCCTCCCTGGCACCTTTGGGCCCTGACTGGTCCCAGACAAGAGAATTTGCCAGATCTGGGGAGGTCCCCAGCCCACTGCCATACCAGCTTCTGGCCCCGGCCACCCCCCGCCTCCAGTTGGTTGTACTTCTGGCCCTGGCCAGGCCCCCTACTGCTGGGCTTCTGGCTCCACCACTGGCTCCCCCTGCTGCCCGACTCACAGCCGCATCACAAAACTCCCTATGCCACCGGACCACTCTCTGCTGCAGGGCTTCCAGCTATATCACTGATCCACTCCTTGTTGTTGGGCTCCCAGCTTCACTGTCAGCTCCCTCTCCCCAATGTAGACCTCCTGGCCTGCCATTCGCACCTCTGCTCTGGAGCCCCTGGCACAGCTGCCAGTCCAGGGACATCCATCGTCCTGCCGAACCAGAGAGTCCCAGTTTAGCAAAGTACAACCTGTAGTGAGAATGACGGAGGAGGGGAAAATGGGAAATGGAAGGGAGGAAAAGGCAAGGTGAAGCAGAACAAGTGCAGGGTTAGTACAGCTTTATTTTGGGTGCACAGATGTGAAGTTATCATTTGAGTGATGTCCTGGGGGATACACGTTTATGAACGCTCATGTAAATCAGATGCTGCCCTTAGGCTCTCTGCAAGTTTTCATTCTAGACCTTGGAGTGACATCACTGTTCTTCTGTTCCCTATCCCTGCATATCCCTTAAAGCTCTCTTAGTACACAGTTTGATCTGCAATGGCTAATATAATCACACAATCAATTGAAGTTCCTTTTCTTCTGCTCCCATAGGCTCTCTCAGCACTCAGTGTGATAACTTCGGCCGGTGTAGCTGCAAACCTGGTGTGATGGGAGATAAATGTGACCGATGCCAGCCAGGGTTCCACTCCCTCTCAGAGGCTGGGTGCAGGTAAGGGATTTTTTTCCTGTAGTTCAAGCAGAAGGTGAAGGAGCTACTGCTCAAGAGGGGCAGTGTTTGAATTTTCCTGTAAATTTATCTTCTCTTCTGGGTTCCATACAGAGTTCTCACAATTCTTAAAGGGTTTCTCATTCCTCTCCACTGTCTCCATCAGGCCCTGTTCATGCAATCCTGCTGGCAGCACCGATGACTGCAGTATTGAGACAGGGCGATGTACCTGCAAGGACAATGTGGAGGGATTCCACTGTGAGAGGTGACTTGCTTTTTCAAAAGCTTAGTTGTATACGTCTCAGAAGTGTTTTGTCACTGTGTGTTTTGAGAAAAGATGAAGAAATAACTTCTTCTCTTGCTCATTTTCAGATGTAAACCTGGATTTTTCAATCTGGATCCCGCCAATCTGAGAGGCTGTACTCCTTGTTTCTGTTTTGGTCACTCCTCAGTCTGCACCAATGCTGTTGGCTACAGTATCTACAATATAGTCTCCAACTTCCAGAATGGTAAAGACAAATCTGCCTTTGACTTCAAAGATGTACTGTGGACTTCAATATAAATATTAATCTTTCCTTCTGCTCCTTTGCCCCTTTCCCTGGGCTGGGTTATGGTAGCCAAAGCATTCAGTGTTTATGTATCTAGATATGTAGCATAACCGTCAGAAATGTTGAGTACGAGCAACACATATTAAAGTCCATAGGAATAGCACGTGCTCAGCATGTTCAAACATGGGACACTTTTTATTTAGGTGGACAAACATGGATTTATGGGCATGACTTCAATTATCTAGTTTTGAAATGTTTTAATGGGTGTGTACTGAGGATATAAACACTTCTATATACAGTTAATACCAGCAGCTAGGAGAAGGCATTTGCTCCATTTCAGACGTCTGTCTTGGGCATCTAAACTTTATAATATAATAAATCCTGGGTTTTGAGTTTCCTTGTGGTTTTGGCCAGATGTCGTTTCTGGCTGCTTCCTGTGTTTTCATTGGTAGCACTATTTCTAGGTTTGAACTGGTAATGTAGTAATATCTCTTTGTAAGAGGCTGGGGAGTGGGACAAAGACTCAGACTTCCTAAACCAAGTTAGCACCAGTGCATAAAATGTAAGTTAGAAATTCCCTGGGCCACACACAGTGATATGTCCATGGTGTGGTATGGTGTACCATAGGGAGCATTTTCCCTTGCTTGTCTGTATTTCAGGGGAGGAGGAGTGGCGTGCTGAACAGCGAGATGGCTCTGAAATTTTACTCCAATGGAGTGCTGAGACCCAGGACATCTCTGTTATCTCAGACAGCTATTTCCCCATCTATTTCATTGCACCTGGTAAGTAGAGTCAGGGATGAGGTTCTCTCTAAAAGCTCATCATGATACCATAGAGTAACTCTTCACTTTTCTGCCTCTAATTGTATGCATATTTTGTTTGTTTCAGGAAAGTTCTTGGGAAACCAGGTTGTGAGTTATGCTCAAAATCTGACCTTCTCCTTTCGGGTGGACAGGCAGGACACTCGTCTCTCTGCAGAGGACCTCGTGCTTGAAGGGGCTGGGCTTAGAGTATCCGTGCCTCTTATTGCTCAGGGTAACTCCTATCCCAGTGAGAATACAGTGAAGTATGCCTTCAGGTAAGGGAGTTTTCCCTGTAACATGGGAAGAGGCAGGGCTGACTGGGACGGAGGGAGAATAGTGGCTGTAACAGGAATCTAACGTGGGGCAACAGTGTTCTCAGTGGGACAGTAAGAAAACTAGAACTGTTAAGGTTGTTTTCAAAATGGAATTGGTAATCATGCCGTCAGATGAATGCAGTGCACATGGCCTAGTAATACGGTATAGTTAAATGCTGATGGCTGTGCTCTTTCAGTGGACCATTTGAGCAATCACATGCCGTTACAACACTTTTAGCAAGTGAAAGCTTGTAAGCATAAACATGATGCATGCCTTTTCTCCATAGGCTCCATGAAGCAACAGATTACCCATGGAGGCCTTCTCTTAGGGCATTTGAGTTTCAGAAGCTGCTTCACAACTTGACTTCTATCAAGATCCGCGGAACATATAGTGAGAGAAGTGAGTCATTCTACTACTTAGGAAAGTGGGTTTCTGGATGAGACATGGGGCGGTTTCCACAACAGCTGTATATGGGAGAGGAGCATATTATCTCATTGTTGCAGAATGACTGTGGCCAGCTTATTTCAGAGCCTAATTATAAATACCTAAGGCTGGGTTTTTTTTATGAAAAGCATGAGTCATGGACTGACAATCTATCTTGTGAGTGACATTATGCTTCCTGGGCTGTTTGCAGGGTACCTGCTGTCACTGTGAAATGAATTCCTTGTAAGGAGGTCAAGGATCCACTCTCTCTGTTCCTTGGGGCTTTTAATTTTTTTAAAACAATTTTAGCATTTTTATCCTGACACAGCCAGCTGTGTACTGACCTGATTAATGAAACTCTGGGAGCAGACTGGATTCACTCGAAGTCTGGAGGAAGTGGCCACATAGATGCCAGGATTCTTTAATGGATGTGTGACATCTACTCTACTGCTATTATACTTGTAAGAGAAAGAGATGGGAAAACACAAAACTGATTGAGACAATTGTTCTAAGGCCATGTTTCCGCTTGCTGGAGAATCGATACTCTGGCAATCAATTCTCTGTGTTCAGTTCAGTGGGTCTAGTAAAGACGTGGTAACTCAAATGCTGAGGGCACCTCAATCGGCAGCCAGTACTCCTTGCTGTCATGAGGAGTAAGGGAAGGCATTGGAAACGTTTCTCCCATCAACCTGCTGTAGGGCCATTCCAGAAAACCGGTACAAGGTATGTCAACTTCAGCTATGCAGTTGTAAGTGCTGGAATTGTGTGTCTTACACTAATTTTTTCTGCCAGTGTGGACCTGGCCTAAGTGAAAAAGGCCTTATTCCAGTAGCTCCCTGTTACAGAACCTCTGTTTACTTCAGTGCGAGTTCCATGTAAAGAACTGAGGGAATTGGCTCTGATTAGGGACAGAGTATCGATGGCCTGGAACATTGCTGAGAGATTGTCATGCTAAAACAAATAGATTAAAACAAGAAGTATGAACTTAAGAAATACAGGAAGCTAGAAGAATTTGAAGTGGAATTTTTTTACAAAAGTGGAATGTACCAATAATAAAATAGTGAGTGTGCAGTGTGAGCATTCCAGCTGCTGCTAATATCCCAGTTTGTAATTCTAGAGCCATTACACTAGAGCAGTGGTCTCCAACCTTTTTAACCACAAGATCACTTTTTCAATGTAAGTACAATGTAAGATCTACCTCAAATCTAAAGACCCTTGCCCTCTTCCTGCCTGCCCCTTCTCTAAGGCCCTGCCCCTGCTCTACCCCTTCTCCAGGACCTCACCCTGCTCACTCTCTCCCTCTTCCTCCCCCATCCTCACTTTCACCAGGCTGGGGCAGGGGGTTTTGGTGCAGACTCTTGGTCTTGGGCCAAGGGGTTTGGTGTGTGGGAGGGATCAAGGAGGGGTTTCAGGGTGCAAGCTCTGGGAAGGAGTTTGGGTGCAGAGGGACTCACGTCTAGGGCAGGAGGTTGGGTGTAGGAGGTGGTTCAGGGCTGGGGCGAGTTCAGGATTCAGCATCTGGCTGGGCACTGTTTAGCTGAGACATCTTACTCCCACCCTACCCTTGCATTACTCTTGAAAGCAGCTGGCATGTACAGCATGGCTCCATGTGCTGCCCTTAGTCTACATGCACTGAGTCCATAGCTTCTACTGAACACAGTTCCCTGTTACTGATCAGTGGAAGCTGCAGGAGACCCCCTGCTCTGCCATTCTCAGGGGCTGCAGGGACATGCCAGCCACTTCCAGGAGCAGCAGTTACCATAGGGATGACTACTCCAGCCACGGCAGGTTAGGTATTTTAGAGCTCACTACTCAAAGAATCACATTTAAACGTAAGAGAGAAATAACAATTATGAAATGCACAGACCAGTTAAAAACCCGAAAAATAACCTACTTTGCAAGCAGTAAAAGAAGTAACAACAGCCCCGCATATTTATGTTGGGTCAGGCGATCAGAGGGAAGGACAGTGTGTATTAGTGAGAGTGACAGACACACACACTGTGAGAGAGTGACAGGGGTTTGCATTGCCAAGCTCCCTCCAACCCCTTCTCTCTGTGTGGAGATGGGGTACATGAGTGGGTGGAAGAGAGACACCCTGGCATCAGTTCCCCCCTTCTTCTCCCTTGCACAGCAAGCAGGAGGCTCCCAAGGGGGCATCTCCAAAGCAGAAGGCAGGAGCAGAATGACAGTAGGTGGAGGAGCTATTGAAGTGCCAGCACTTGATAGCTTCCTGGTCAAACCAGTCAGGATCACCTGTCAGAGTCTCCAAGATCTGCCGGTAGATCCCGATCTACTAGTTGGGGACCACTGCACTAGAGCAAAACCCTTACATCAATATATGATTTTATTGTATCATAATTATTTACACCTGACACAGAACTCAGAGGAAGATTGCCTTAAGGTACCAATGGGAGGTGAGTTTGGAGGAGAAAAGCCCAAAAGAGAATGGGCGGAGAGATGTCTTTGTAGTTTCTTCTTTCTGTTATTGTGAATGTAGTTCTGGTTAAAAATCCAGAGCATACATTTTAAAGATCTATGAAGGCTTGTCTGTCCTTATAACAGTAGGGAAGTTTAGGATAGCATTCCTCCTTTGAAATGCACAAGAGCCCCGGCTAGAGCTATTGTACATTTCAAAGGAGGAATGCGGAACTCCATGTACAGCCCAAGGCCAGCGGGAAGTCCCACTGACTCCGGGCTGCACACGGCGTGCCTGCATTTCAAAGCCATGGAGCCTGGGGCCTTAAGCTAATCCTGGACTCCATCCTGTGCTGCATACCAGCTGACCCTGGGATCCGTGCGGCACTTGCTTATTGGTTAATCAACTAGTCTTTAACATCCCTAGTTTAGGAACCATTCTTGGTTTCCAATTGGAATTATAAACCATGGGAACACAAGGTGTGATTTTTACTGCTAAAATGTATTTACGCAAATTGTGTTCTTTGTACCTAGCTGTGTCTTGCATGGTGGCCATTTGGCAAGTTGCCATCTTGGCATGCCTGTGTGTCTCATGCATAGGGAATTGCCATTGCTTTCTGACCTTTGTTTTCTCTGGATTACTTGGCATCCTTCTCACGTTAACCTTAAGCATCTGCTGACTTTCCTGCTGTAATAACAGCACCCACATCTCTTCTGACACTGAGTGGTCTGTCTCTGTAGGTAAATAAAATGTATTGGGCTCACATCATACCATTTGTTGAGTGGGTAATTAAATGCTTATCTTTCCAATCTCTTTCCAGATTCAGGGTACCTGGATGATGTCACTATTGTGAGCGCTCGTCCTGGGTCTGGAACCCCTGCGACCTGGGTGGAGACCTGTACGTGCCCAGCAGGATATCATGGACAATTCTGTGAGCACTGTGCCCCAGGTTACAGGAGAGAGACACCTAGCCTTGGGCCATACAGTCTGTGTGTGCTGTGTACCTGCAATGGGCATAGTGAGAGCTGTGACCCAGAGACTGGTAAGGAGGAAGATGGGGGAGGAGACTTGCGGTTTTTTGTTTTTCTTCTTTCTGTGTGAGGAATGGGATGAGGATAATGACTGGAACAATATTAAAAATATGTTCTGGTATTTTTCTTCCCACCCCCAACACCCTCCCTGCAAATCAAAAACCCCACAGGTGCTTGCAACTGCAGAGATAATACTGCTGGCTCTCACTGCGAGAAGTGCAGTGATGGGTATTATGGAGATGCAACTACCGGCACTTCCTCAGACTGTCAGCCTTGTCCGTGCCCAGGGGGCACCAGCTGTGCCGTAGTGCCCAAGACTAAGGAGGTGGTGTGCACCAACTGTCCTGCTGGTACCACAGGTGTGTTCCTTTTTCAGACTTGTCCAGAGAGAGCCTTACACCAGCCTGCTGCTTTGCACAGTGAAGGGAAATGAGCAGAATTGATCATCTCTATATGTCGTGGTTGTTTTTTTCTTAGTAGACGGCTTGGTAACTAGTATCAGGATCTTCATTGTCAGAATTCTTGGGATTCTGACAAACTAAAAGAAGCTGAATGTTTCTCTCTTTCCTGAATGAAGAAACTGAGATTTTGTCTGAGCAAAGTCTGAAAATATTTGTGATACACATGCCACGATAATTTCTAATACTGAGCTCTATTAATCACGTGGAGCTGATTGAAAAATGGGAATAGTCACTAAAACAGGCCTGGAAACTGTTGAATTTTTCTGTTCAAATCAGGTTAAAATTAGAGGGCATATCTTTCCTCTGGCACACATTGCATGTTGTTTGCTGCAGCAGGTTTGTTCTGCCTAAGGACTCGCAGGCTGCAGTGACTCACCAGGACAGGTACACTAATGAGCAAATCCATATGGTTTTTTATAGCCTGAAACAAATGTGTGTTGGCAGATATGTATCTTATTTTAAACAGTAAATCAGAAAGTAAATGAGGGCGTCAGCCTTTTAAATAAAGCTCTTCTTGTCTATAGCTAGTAAATACAACTCCGCAAAAGGCCAGCCACGTTGAATTAGTCATGACACCAGGGAGTCAAAAGTAGAGGGCCCTTTAAATGCTTGCAAACACTTGGTTAGATCAGCAGTTCCCAACCGCCAGGCCGCAGCCACTGGGCTGCCACAGCTCTGGGGGCGGGGGCCGGGGCACACCTCTCCTGCTGGGGCTGTTGGGAGAGACGTGTCCTGCCCTGCCTCTCAGCTGACCAGCACCAGGCATGGGCAGGGTCCCTGAAGAGAGCTTTGCTCTGCGGTGGGATGACCACGTGGAGCCTGGCACAGCAGCCTTAGAGTTGCCGCAACCTGGGCAGCAGAGCTCAGCTGGCAGCTGTGAGGCAGCACAGGGCTAGGTGAAGGGAGTGGGGCAGGCACTGGGGGCATGGCTAGTCCTGGGGGACTCTGGGGTGGGGGAGCTCTAATAGGTGAGGGGCTGACACTGGGATGCTCTTAAGAGGTAGGGTGCTGACACTGGTTGGGGAGCTGGCCCTGGGGGACTCTGGGGGCTGAGCTAATAGTGTGTAGGCGGGTTACGGAGGCAGGGCGGGCACTGGGGAGGGGGGCTCTGGGCACAGGAGGAGGCTGGCACTGGGTTCTGGGAGGCTAGATGTAATGGAGCTCTGGAAACAGGAGGTTAATACTTGCGGCCTGGTAGGGAGGGCTCTAAGGGACAGGAGGCTGGCACTGAGATGTCTGGGATGGGGGCCTGGCACTGGGGGATCTGAGGGCAGGAGGCTGGCACTGATGGGGGTTGGGTGCAGGGGACTCTGGGGTCAGTAGCTGGTGCTGGGGGATAGTGGAGGGCTCTAGGGGTTAGGCCTGGCCCTGGGGGGCTTTGAGGGCCAGGGCTTTTAGCAGTCAATTAACATTTTATTTGCCTATTCATTATTTGCATAATGAACAGGCAAATAAAATGTTACCAGTCTGCCAAAAGTTTGTGGGTGGGTTTGCCGGTCCCCAGTATAAAAAAGGTTGGGAACCACTGGGCTAAATGACTGCCCAGAGTCTTTGCACTAGTTTGCTGTGTCTGGTCATACACAAATTCAGCTCTGGGATTGCACAGGCATGCAATAGATTTTTTTTTTTATTGTTTTGTTATTGGCTCAAACTACTAAATTCAGATCGAGATGCAGATTGCGTTGAAGCTTCAGGCTTATCCTTATTTATTACAGCCACATCTGGCAGGCCCACAGTCGACAGTGCTGAGCCTGCTAGGCTCTGCTGCCCTCACCTCCCTCCCAGAGTGCCCCCACTTGTGGTGAAGTGATTGTGACATGACGGGAGGAGTTTTGCCTGTGAAAGAGCTGCCTGAGATGCAAAGCTTTTAGCTTGTGTGGGATGCAGCTCCTCTGACAAACTTTCTGTGGTTTCCATCCCTGTGTTAAGGTGTGTGACACCTTAGAAGGACTATGGGAAGTAAAGGCAGGAGTGGAGGTCAGTACTGGACTGTTGCACAAGGAGTTATAGTGAAGGAGTAACTGAGGACAAAGTTTATAGTTGCTGCCCTTGGAGCCAAGGGGCTGAGTTGTGTATGGTGATTGCCCAGGTTGAGGAACCCTAACACCACAGGACTATCTTCTACATGCAATCTTCTGTCTTTGTTGCAGCATTGCAGCCTCCTGTAATGGAAGTGACTGGTGGACTTGCTTGCTTTAGCTGAGCTGAGTTGTTTCAATGAATGGGCGGGGGGGGGGGAATCATTTTATTAATTTTATATTTTGGAACATAGTATGTGCTGGAGTCTAGCTTAACTGCTGTGTGAAATCTGGAACAGGTTGGGGAAGTGTGATGTTAAAGAGGCACAAAAAGATAAGATGCAAATTGTATAATTGATGGCTTTCTAGTCTTGTGTTTCTCAACAATTGATCTATCGACAGGCACCAGTCCCCAAGATCACCCTGACACAGTTTAGGAAGGTAGCAAGTTGGTCCCTGGTATCAAAAAGGTTGAGAAACGTTTTAGATGTTTCAAGTGGACAAAAATCATACATGGAAAGTAGTGCACTAGTGTTTCCTTGGCGTTTTTCTAAAAAACAAATCAGCGTGTTATTAGAGTGACACAGGTTTATAAATCACAGTTTAGCTGATAATCCAAAAGCAGCTGTAACTCTGGAAGGTTGTGATGGACTCCTCAATTGAAGTGTTTCAAAGCCTGAGCTCTTCCTGGTCACTTCATATCAGGCAAGCCAAAAAGCGATGAGAAACCACCTTACAGGAGAGATTGTAGGGGAATCTAGGTTACATTGTAACTGCTGGCTGCCTACAGGTACTTTTGTCCTGCCTCCAGGTAAAAGATGTGAGCTATGTGATGATGGCTATTTTGGAGACCCGCTTGGTGAAAATGGCCCTTCCAGACTTTGCCGTCTCTGCCAGTGTAATGAAAACATTGATCCCAATGCTGTGGGGAACTGCAACCGCTTGACAGGGGAATGCCTGAAATGCATCTACAATACAGCTGGCTTCTACTGTGACCGTTGCAAAGATGGTTTCTTTGGGAACCCCTTGGCCTCCAGTCCTGAGGTTAAGTGCAAGGGTAAGTGCCTTTCTCAGCTTTTCACGTGTAAAGACCAGAGCCCTTTTAATGGCCAACTGAGCCCCCTTGTAGTCTCACTGGCACATCCTCGAAAGGATTGAATGTTTTGGCCCCGCAGACCTCACATAATAATGGGTCAAATGTCAGAACTCTGGTTTTGGTGCTGCATGCAGACTTGCCATCTGGAGTGCAAGATTTTATGCTATGCTGATGCTTATGGCCTATGCTGTAAACCTGACACAATGTGGGCACTGCATGTGTTTTAGAGGGTGCAGCCTACAATTTGAATTCATGCGCTTTATGGCATGTTTGGAGGCTCTAGTTAATTGCTGCTTACAGTGCTTGCATTCTGCTAATTACTGGGGACATGTTTCCGTTTCCATCTCCTGCAGCTTGTAGCTGTAATCCTTATGGCACAGTGAACCAGCAGACAAACTGCAATCAAGTAACTGGGCAGTGTGAGTGCTTGCCACATGTCAGTGACAGGGATTGCAGTGCCTGTGAGCCCGGCTTCTACAACCTACAGAGTGGACGTGGCTGTGACAGGTGAGACTGGCCTGCAGCTGTGGCAGTGTGTGTGTTTTTCAGGGTACCTGTGTTTAACTCTCATTTCTTCAGCCATAACAGAAAGAATGGGTTTTCTGTGAACAGCAATAGGGCAGGAGAGGGTTAGTTAAGAAGCAGATCTGATGAGGGCTCTATAGAGCAGTGTTTCTCAACCAGTGGTATAAAGTACCCTTCGGGGTACTTGAGAGAAGTTGGGGGGAAGGGGGACATGTCAACACAACTGAAATTTGGAGAAAACTGATTTTTTGTTTTAAGTTTTACAGCACTTTATTATTTTTGTACTTTTTACACCCAAAAATGTCATCACCCGCCCGGCTATAATTAAGTTGTTTAAACAAATGTGTGGCAATAGTAGAAAAAAATTGTGTGTCTGGAAGCTGTAGGTACTGGGGGCACTTATAAATTTTTTTAAAGGGGTACTTTATAAAAAATGTTGAGAAACACTGCTATAGAGAAGAGTTGTTTATAAATAGAAGCCATCTTGTGATTACTGGAGAAGAATGGTAGGTTCCCATTCCTAGCTCAGTACCTGTGTGATTTGGCACAGTTCATTTAATCCCTGTGCCTTGCTTTCCACATCTGAGAGAGACAGCAATGCCCACCTCACATGGGAGGTATGAGACGCTATTGGATCTTTTTGATCATCACATGAAACATGCAAGTGCAGCCTGTTGTTTTTGCTAGGGTTTTTTATTGTCACTTGAAATATAGTCTCCTTCAATAGGTGTGACTGCCACCCGCTGGGTTCCACCGATGGCCATTGTGACATACAAACTGGTCAGTGTGAGTGTCAACCGGGCATCACCGGGCAGCACTGCGAGAGATGTGAGGTCAACCACTTCGGATTTGGACCTGAAGGATGCAAACGTAAGTGGTGGTGGGGTAATGGAGGAGAGGAAGCAGAAACCGACAGTATGTGTCTCCATTTCTCATCCTCTCCTTGCTTGTCCAATGCCGCTGTTTTCTCCCTGCCTCATGTTTAACATGACACACAAGTTGTCTTATTGTGTCCACATCCCAGACATTAGGTGAGACCTGGTCCCAGTGAGGGTGTTTGTCTCTTGATTTATTTGTAGGAGTTTTGTTTTTCTGTCCCTGAGGGCACTCTGATTTCATTTACTTGTAGACATCTGCCTCTCTTTGGCATAAACACTTGCTCTGAGTATTTTTCCAGAATAGTTCAGTTTCTGCTCTATAAGCTCCTACGTCTCTACTCTGGAATGTGGCCATAAGTTGCTGACTCAGTCCAGAGAAGAAACAAAGTGTAAATGTGACACAAATATAGGGCTGTATCTAAATCTTTCCAACTTCCTTGTTACTGTGAGAACAAATTTGCAGATCATTCTGATGAGAGAGACCAAGACAGAGAGGTCAGCTTGTGGGACACTGGGAACGGTAGTAAGCAGAGTCTGGTGTGAATAGTGTCTCAAACTATTGCGTCTTGTGCTTTTCTAGATACTATGTACAGAAGCGTTGAGCCTCAAACTGTGTGCTGGTGCCCTGCTGTGTCATTCTTTCATGGAATAGCTTACAGTTCAGAGCAGTTCTTTGTCTGTCTTCTCAGCCAAGCTGATTCAAATGCTTTAACTTTCATACAGCGTGTGACTGTGACACCGAGGGCTCTCGCTCCCTACAGTGCAAGGAGGATGGTCGCTGTGAGTGTAAGGAAGGCTTTGTGGGGATTCGTTGTGACCAGTGTGAAGAGAATTATTTCTACAACCGGTCCTGGCCTGGCTGCCAAGAGTGTCCTGCATGCTATAGACTGGTTAGAGATAAGGTAAGACCTGCAATGGAACCCTCTGCTTATATCCTATTACACCAAGTTCAGCCCCTATGTTGCTTGCCTGGGGCTGACCTCTTGGGAAAGAGAGAACATAAGAATGGCCATACTGGGTCAGACCAAAGGTCCATCTAGCCCAGTGTCCTGTCTTCTGACAGTGGTGAATGCCAGGTGCCCCAGAGAAAATGAATAGGATAGGGTATTATCAAGTGTCACTTATCAGACACCACTCCTGCCCATCCTGGCTAATAGCCATTGATGGCCCTATCTTCCATGAATTTATCTAGTTCTTCTTTGAATCCTGTTAAAGACACGATCTTCACAACATCCTGTAGTAAGGAATTCCACAGGATGACTGCGTTGCGTGAAGAAATGCTTCCTTTTGTTTGTTTGTTAAACCAAATTATTAATTTAATTTGGTGACATCTAGTTCTTGTGTTACGGGAACAAGTCAATAACTTTTTCCACACCAGTCATGACCTCTGTCATATCCCTCCGTAGTCTTTTTTTTTTTTTTTTTTTTAAAGTACAGAAGGCCCCCGATTTGTGACCACCTGAGTTCTGACCCCCCACACTTACGGCCATTTTTGTAAGTGCATAAGGGGCTGAAAACCCCCTACTTACATCCTCGACCTGCATTTACGACGGCACATGGTGCCTATCGTAAATGTGGGTTTGAGTTATGACGCCTCCGACTTGCGACGCTTCTCCCGGAACCAATCGCATCGCAAGTCGGGCGCCTCCTATAGAGGAGTCCCAGTGTTATGAATCTCTTCTCATATGGCAGCTATTCCAAACCCAAAAATAATTTTTGTTGCCCATTTCTGAACGTTTTCCAATACCTTTTTTGACATGAGGCAAGCACATCTGTACACTGTATTCAAGATGTGGGATTACTGTGGATTTATACCGAGGCAATAAGATATTCTTTGTCTTCTTCTCTATCCCTTTTTTAATGACTCCTAACATTCTGTTTACTTTTTTGACTGCTGCACATTGATTGGATGTTTTCAGAGAACTGTCCATGAAGACTCCAAGATCTCTCTCTTGAGTGGTAATAGCTAATTTAGTCCCCATCATTTTGTATGTATAGTTGGGATTATGTTTTCCAATGTGCATTACTTTGGATTTATCAACTTTAAAATTCATCTGCCATTTTGTTGTTCAGTCACCTAGTTGGGAGATCCTTTTGAAGCTCTTCACAGTTTGCTTTGGTCTTAACTACCTTGAGCAGTTTGGTATCATCTACATATTTTGCCACCTCACTATTTACCCCTTTCTCCAGATCATTTATGAATATGTTGAATAGGATTGGTCACAGTACTGACCCCTGTGGGACACCATTAGTTACCTCTTTCCATTCTGAAAATTGACCCTTTATTTCTACCCTTTTGTTTCCTATCTTTTAACCAGTTCTCAATCCATGATAGGATCTTCCCTCTTATCCTATGACTACTTACTTTGCTTAAGAGCCTTTGGTGAGGCAGACATGGTTCTAGCTACTTACTCAGGGTTTCCCAACCTATGGGTCGGGACCCAAATATGGGTCACCATTACATTTCAAAAGGGTTGCCAAGTGTCTCCCCAGGTGGCTCTGCCCTCTCTCCTCCCCCTGTTTTTTAATTGCCTTGGGTCACCAAGTCTTCCTGAATTGTCAGAATGGGTCCCCATCTGGAAAAGGTTGGGAACTGCCGATCTAGATGCACAGTGTCTGAGCGACACCTGCTGGACGCTGAAACAACTGACAAGTACTTTGTGTCAGCTTTTGGAGGGTTAAAGGAGTCTGTTTATTTCTGTCTCCCTATCTTTTTTGCTTAGGTGGCAGAACAACGCGAGAGGTTGCGGGAACTAGAAGATCTTATCGCAAACCTTGGTGCAGGAGATGAAACGGTGACTGATCAGGCCTTTGAGGATAGACTGAAGGAAGCAGAGAGAGAGGTCATGGACTTGCTCCGAGATGCACAGAACAGCAAAGGTAGGTTGAACTATCTGACAGGGTGCCATGCAGCTAGTGTTAAGCCGAATACTCCTGGTCCCTTATGGGAACAAAGTTGCTTCTTGTTACCATGTAGTTTGCTTCAGGAGATGTGAACATTTCAAAGCATCATCTAGGAAGCATGCATGGGGATGGCTGTATTTTATTCCTGACAATATGCATGGCTCTGGATAATGCACAAAAACAAAGAGCAGTCTAAAACAGACAAAAAGACAACTCACAGGCCCACTCAGAGGAGAGACTAATTTTAAAGAGCCTTTTACTTATTAACTATGGAAATCTTTCTGCTTGTTTAAAATTATACACATACCTATATGAAGGGGATGTCTGCCTTCATAGTATTCACCAGTAGCAATATTGTTCCTTTTAGCTTTCCTAAAGAAATTTCTTTGGGCCCAAACATTCTTTGTTTGGTCTTAGCCCAGAGAGGAGTAGGTTTTGTTCTCCTGATTTGTTCAGATTCTGTTCTCTGTAGCATCGTGTGCTGCCTTCCACACTGTGGTACACCTGTGTCTTCCAGCAGCTTGTTAAGTGACGTGACTTATATTGGGTATATATATGTTTTTAAAAAAAGACAATTGTCAAAGAAGTGCACCGTGACCTTGCTGCAGAAGGGAATGAGAAGAATGGTGATTCTTGGTTCCTGTGCAAGTTAGTTCCAGAATCTTGGTCTAGCCCTGGAAAAAGCTCTGTTTTCTACACAAACAAGCTCTATCCTTTTGGTAGAGAGTTCCATGGTACTCAAGGAGTGAAATTTTTGACCAAGACCTTCATCCTGGAGTTTTTGGCAGTCATTTGAAGATCTGTATGCTGGGTTCAAGCCATTGAATGCCTAGAAGATAAGGAGAATAGTTGGAATAGAAAACCAAAGACAGGTTTGATGTGCTTTTAGTAGCTCCTTTTGACATGGCCTTCCCTGGAGAGGTTCAGGGCCTAGGACATAGGCATCAAGTTTCTTCTGCCGGGGCAGGAGCCAAGGCTTCACCTTTTCCCCCAAGTCCCTACACTGCTTCTCTGCCCTTCCCCCCAGTACCTCTTGACACCATGAAACAGCTGAAGCATAGCAGACGGTAGGCGCTGGGAGGGCAAGGGAGGTGCTGATTGGCAGGACCCACTGGTGAAGAGAAAAAAGTTCTGGTGAGGGCTGCCCAATGGCTGTTCCAGTTCCAGAGAGCAGAGCCTCCGAAAGTGTGGGGTGTTCGTCCTGATTCACCATACCCTAGGGATGGCTCAGCCTGTAGAGGACAGCACATGCTGCAGGATTTTGTGCTAGTTGTGCTTTCCTTGGGGTGTTAGTTTCAAACCAGGCATATCGCTTTGCTGCAGTCCAGGCAGGAGGTGACAGTGTGTATAACCAAAGCTTTGTCGCTCTCTGCCAGGATGGAAAGGAGCCTCCTAGCCAATCACAGCAGTAGAAGGCACGACTCATAGAGTGTTTGGTGAGAAGTACAGGAGTACTCCTAAATAGGGATGTAAGTGACGAGTCAACTATCTGATAAGCATAAACTTGTTGGATAGTTGAGTAGTGACTCCACTATTCATTCTGGCCCCACCCCCGCTCTTGTCTATCAGAAAGAAACAACAAGCGGAGGAGAGTAGGACCCGGTGCTGGGGAGGGACAGCTTAAAAGCCACTTCCCCCCCAGCACCATCTCTGCAGGGGGGCAGGCGTACTTGATTAACTGACTAATCAAAATTTAACACCCCTACTCCTAAACTGCACAATTAATTAATTAATTGTGGGTTAGCCTTTAACTAAAGGAGACTGCAGCATGGCTGCACATTCATCTAAATGCTTTCCTCTGCCCACTGGCGTCACCTCTGTCTTGCCTGGGTTCAGTTTCAGTTGGCCACCATTCAACCCTGGGCTGATCCCATGCCAGTATTGGGCCATCTTGGCAGCTGAGGTGTGATCATATGTAGGGAAGGGTTTTGCTCAGGCTCTGTATCGTCTGCATGGTGCTGGCACTCACTAACCAAGAAGACTGTGGTTTAGGTATACATGTGTTGGCTTGAGACTCCTTTCAGGCATCCAGTGCAGCTTGAGTGAGTGGGAATGAAGGGGACTGCTCCTGGCTGGTGTAGGAGGAGAGGGTCCGTGTTGTCTGAGAAGCCTTCTGAGACATGCCCAGAGAAGTAGGATGATAGCTCTTTGCAGTGTTTGGTGCTGACGCAATGTGACCTGCTTATGTCAATGATTCAAGTGCCCAGGTGGCCATAGGACTTGGGTGGTTCCGTAGCCCTCACTTGGGGAAGTAAATAATTCCGTTTACAGACGTCAGTTCAGTGTTTACATGGTCAGTTCTGTTAGTGTTGGGGAGGTTTAGTGGTTGAGCTATTTAGAGTATTAGGCAGTAGCATTAGGCATTCAGTATTAGGTATCCCTTCGGGTCTCCTAGAGTGTGTCTGCATAGTGCTTTGAAGCCAGTGGGAGCTGGTGCACTAAAGATAACTCTATAAACAGCATTTGCAGTTGTGGCTTGGGCTTGCGCCACTAGGGCCTCGGGGGACTGAGCTTCAGAGCCTGGGCTCCAGCCTGAGCAGCAAGGTCTCCAGGGGTATCTTTAGCACTAGCATGAGTCTCACTTCCCCAGGGCTCACTCCCCTCCCCAGGCATCCAAAACGCTGTGCAGCTGTATCCTTTGGTTATCTGCATCTTGGGTAAGGCCTTGAAGCTAACATGCACTAGCCCAGCAGGGCGAGTTCCCAGGGCTTTGCTTTTTTTCTCCTCTCTGAAATAGCAGGTTTTGCATTTAATTTCCCTTTCTTTTGTCACACCATTAAAGTCAAGAGTACAGGTACTCAAAAAACCTTATGAATCTCCTGCAACCATGTGAATCTGAGCACTATGTGCACATGTAGCATTTCTCCTGGCTTTTCTACCTGAATACGTTGTTTAATAAACTAACATTTGTTTAATGTTGACATGACCTACAGGATGTGTAATGTGGCCATGGCAACATTGCTATAGAAACCTTAAGTCTTGGATTTCCTGAGGATTTTGTTAGTTTATATTTGATTTCTTAGCCTTCATGTTGCTCTTACTTTTTAAAATATCTCTCTCCCTGTGCGCAGACTGTGTACTTGAGTGTGTATAGGACACTATTAATGATCTGGTTCAAAAAACCTAAAACCTACTTAAGCTAACTGGCTCCTTGCATGGTCGTAAGGTTAGTCCCTGTTTCAAGGACTGTAATAGCTGCATCTTACTTATCACTTTTAGAATTAGGGCAGATTTGGGAAGGCCATGCAGAGGTTGCTACCTCCTGTAGTATTGCAAAACTCAGATCCAGAGGAGCTCCTGGCCCAGATTGGGAAGGCACCAGGCTGGTGAATGTGCTATTGTGACTGCTGGTGAATAGACACGCTTCTCCTCATGGAGCAGGAGCACAAGTTGTAGAAGCTGTTGTATTTCAGGTATGCAATAGCACTTGCAAAGCAGCTTCAGAGCCTGGTGGTGAAGATTCCTTACACTCTGCCTCTGCCTGCAATGGAGAGGAGCAGTGCGTGGCTTGCCCCTTCAGCTGTGCACTTCCAGATCATTTGGCCCTAATACAGGTTGGACCTCCCTGATCCAGCACTGTTGGGACCTGACAAGTCCCGAACGAGATAATTTGCCAGACCAGGGAAGGTGACCCCTGCCACTGGCCCCCTCCCTCTGATCCCTGCAGCTACCTGGCTCCAGGCTGCCATGGACATCTGGGTTCCCCAGCTTCATGCTGGCCAAGTTTCCCTGGCCCTGTGCTGCTGTGGACAGACAGGCTTCTCCAGCTTCCAGCCCCATGCTGCTGTGGGTGACTGGAATTCTCCAGCCCCTGGCTCTGTGCTGATGGAGACAGCCAGGCTTCCCTGGCTCCCAACCCCATGCTGCTGCAGGTAGCTAAGATACCCCAGCCCCCACTGCCACAGGCTGCTGGGATTCTCTGGCCTGGCCCCGGCACTTTTGTGGGGCTGTTGGCCCTTCTGCCGTTAGGCTTCCTGGCTCTCTGGTCCAGAAGCATCCCTGGTCCTGCAGAAAGTACTGGTTTTCAGAGGTTCAACCTGCACAGGTCCCAAATTATGGGCACACCCCCGTGAGGAGAGTGGAGGAACATTTTGAGTCAGGGAGGAGGGAATCAGCAACACAAGTTAACATAGAATCATAGGGCTGGAAGAGACCTCAGGAGGTTATCAAGTCCAGCCCCCAAGTTAGCTAATGCCAGCCCTCCATGGTGGGACCCAGGCATGATCTCAACTTCCCAATTCCACCTTAGTTTCTCCAGGAGTCTTCCAAATCTGGCTCAATCTCCCAAAGGCTACTGCAGCCATTCCAGGAGTCCAATGGTGTAGCAGAGCTAAGGTAGGCTGTGTGCGTGCCCTGGCACTATGCCACTCCTAGAAGCAGATGGCAGCTTATGGGGGCAGGGGACAGAAGGGCTCTGTGTACTGACCCTGCCCCAAACACTGATTCCACAACTCCCATTGGCTAGGAATGGAGAACTGTGGCCAGTGGGAGCTGTGGGGACATTGCCTGCAGAGAGGGGCAGGGTGAAGAGTCACATCTGCATCCCCTGCTTTGCCCCCTGGGGCCACAGAGATGTACCAGCTGCTTTAGGGAGCAGCACAGGGCTGTGCTGGCCGTAACCCCAGTATGCTGCTGACCTGGAGCGACCTGAGGTAAGTGCCATCTAGCCAGAGCCTGCCCCCCAGTTCGCTGCCCAGTGAAAGTGAGGAAGGGTGAGGGGAGTGACAGGGGATGGAGTGAACAGGGAGGGATCTTGAAGGGGCGGGATGAGGGTGTTTTTGGTTTGTGTGATTAGGCATTTGGTAACCCTAGTCAATGTCAACGTCAGCTGTGGCTGCGCTAATTTCTTTTCCTAGCAGCCTCCACTCTCAGCCCTGTTTCTGCCCCCATAGACCCTTGCTCACACCTTCTCCACACTGAAAACCCAAGTGAAGAGGGGCAGGTATTGGCCCTGCCCTAGAGGTGCAGCCTGGCTGCAAGGTAGAAGCAGCCCACTGCTGAGAAGCTCTTGGCCGTGCCATTGGTCAGTATCTGTGTATTTGAAACTGACTGGGGTAGGTGTTAAGGTCCCTCCTGGGTTGTCACACCCACTTGTGCACGTGTCTGTTTTCTCTGGGCTGGGAGGTGCAACCAAAAATGTCACTAAAGATAGGGGTGTGATAGTGTATTTGTGTAAATGGTTAACCTTGTCTGGACGCAGCAGCTTTGTGGGGGGGAGGGGAGGCAGGCACTGGCTCCCTGTGCGCACCAGCTCCCTGGGAGCTGCCCTACGTGTAAACGTGCCACTGCTGAAAAATTCAGTGATTACATGTTTACCTGAATAAACACTTTTTAGCATCTCTCCTAAAAGAGGGGTTCAGCTCCAAAAAGTTTGCAAAGTTTGCTGCCCTAATAGAATATGTGGAACATATTTCGTTAACATAATTCATTTGAAAAGCAGCTACCTACCTCCTTTGTGCCAGGTCTTGCATTCAGACTTCAGGCCAAATGTGCTCACAAACGCTGAATGCCCAGCAGGAGCATGAGAAGGTGGTGACGGCTTTGTTTCTTGTGGGTTTTGTGCACATTCTGATAATAAATAACTTGGATCTTAAACTGATTACCCTTCATTAAAAGGCTCTTCTGGCCCTCTTTCAACAAGGGATTAACCTACCAACATGTTGCAGACAGCAGCAAATTACCAAATGTTTTATTTCTGCAGCTCCTGCTCCCAGTGTTATTAATTTTGCTTCCTCCTTTTTTATGTTGCTCACCTCAGATGTGGATCAGGGCCTGATGGACCGTCTCAAGGAAATTAACAGCACTCTGGCAAGCCAGCTTGGCCGATTAAAGAACATTCAAAATACAGTGCAGGAGACTGAAGGCCTAGCTGAGCAAGCCCGAAAGCGAGTGGAGAGCACAGAGGACCTAATTGAAGTAGCTTCTAATATGCTAGAGAAGGCAAAGATGGCCGTTAACAATGTGGTGAGTGTTTTGTGAAGGGCTGAGATGAAGCAAACTCCCTAATGTGTAGCATTTTCCAGTTTTGATAGTAGAACAAGCTTCTTAATGTCCTGATTATATTTTTCCTCCTAACAAACTAGCACTGAGCTTGGGTTGCAACATTGTGTGTTTAGTGTCATAAATCTTGGCATAAGTTTTGTTAGTGTGTATTGCACAAACCAATGAGAAAAGTATTACTAGTTGAAAGGAAACCCTTGGTATTCTTCATAGTGTTAATTTTTTTTTACTTGCTGTTTGTGACAACACTTTGAGACATGTACACCATTGCATAGGATTTGTCGTCTCTTCCATTGTATCCAGCATACTCTAACAACCTTAAGGGACTTCCATAGCCATTTTGCTTCCTACCACGTTCCCTAATCACACTGACTTTGCAAACTAATATAAGAAATCAGAACTAGAGCAGTCATGTTAAGTCAGCAAGCTATGGCCATGAATAATTAAAAGGACAAATCAACAAAAGAGGAAAGAATAGCTTCTGAAAGGACCTTTGATTTTGCTTTCAGTCCATTACCCCACCAGACTCAAGTGGTGACCCTAACAACATGACTCTCTTGGCAGAAGAGGCTCGTAAACTAGCTGAACGGTAAGGCCCAGAGTGCCAGTACAAAGCATCTGTGTAAGGGTAGGCCACTTGATTTTTGCCTTATGAAGGGCTGAATGGGCGCCTGCTGGGAAATGGAAGGTTAACCTTAATTGGCCTGCAATGGAGCAAGATTCCTTTTGCTCAGTATGAAGCTGGAGCTGCTTAGACCAATGATGGGGCATTGGGTTCTGGGACCTGTAAGCACCAGAGCTGTATCTGAGTATTACTCTCTGAGTATTACTGATGGGGGCAGCCTTTGGCCTGCACGTAACTTCATAGACATGTAAAATCATAATAGTACCCTGCAAGTGCCCTCATGGGCTTTACTGGTATGTTGGCAGTGGGATGAGCAACAACACTTCTTTATTAGCCCCCTAACACTGCTACTGGGAGAGGAAGGGGAATGGGTAGCTGGGAATAAATGTAGCTCTTAGTCCTAATTAGATTATTTTCCCTCTGTAATATTGTCCAGACACAAACAAGAAGCCGATGACATTGTGCGCATAGCAAAGGCAGCAAATGATACATCCACAGAGGCCTATACATTGCTGTTGAAGACACTGGCAGGAGAGAACCAAACTGCAAATGATATCGATGAACTCAACAAGAAGTAAGTCAGGAACAGATTATCCTCCCCTTGGTATGAGTGGGGAAAGGATGGTGCTTAAAATAAAATGTCCTCTCTACTTTGGCTGGTGGAAAGTACTTGAGTTCTCTATTTCAACCGTTGTCTTCACTTTTGCCAAGACAGCTTTATCCTTCACTTGCTGATTCAGAAAGAGAATGAAATCCTAGGTTAACCGGATACTCTGTTGTCATAGGTATAATCAAGCAAAGAACATTGCTCGAGACCTAGAGAAACAGGCTAACAAGGTGCATGCAGAGGCGGAGGAAGCTGGGAATAAAGCCCTACAGATCTATGCTAATCTCACCAGTCTTCCTGCTGTGGACTCCAAGGCACTAGAGGTATCTCAGTCAAGCAACGTGTACGGCGTGTTCAAAGATCAATGGTCGCAAACCTGAACTGGTGTGATACATTACTACTGCCTTGTTCAAGTGCTTTGCAATCAGTACTGAAGCTAAAACATGTGTGTGTAAGTGCCATGTAATTTTTGTCTGTATGGAAGAATCAAGACCTTGATATTTGAGTCCTCATTGGAGAGACATGCACAGAGGAAACTGCATGTTTCTCCATTTATCCAGTTCCAAAGGACAAAAGACGAGTCACCGTCTGGTGTTATCTGAAGCTGCTTTCAGGGGATGCAGGAATCTTAGGCCTAATGCTGAGCTCTCTAAACTGTTTCCTTTCCTGTCCCGTCCCCCCCGCCACCACACGTACTAGAAGAGAGTTTGATGGAAGCTTTCTTACATAGGAACTATTGCTTGCATAGGCCTCAGTTGGAGTATTGTGTCCAGTTCTGGGCACCACATTTCAAGAAAGATGTGGAGAAATTGGAGAAGGTCCAGAGAAGAGCAACGAGAATGATTAAAGGTTTAGACAGAGAACATGACCTGTGAAGGAAGACTGAAAGAATTGGGCTTATTTAGGTTAGAAAGGAGAAGACTGAGAGGGGACATGATAGCAGTCTTCAGGTATCTAAAAGTGTGTCACAAGGTGGAGGGAGACAAATTGTTCTTTTTGGCCTCTGATGATAGGACAAGAAGCAATGGGCTTAAATTGCAGCAAGAGAAGTTTAGGTTGGACATTAGGAAAAACTTCCTAATTGTCAGGGTGATTAGACACTGGAATAAGTTGCCTAGGAAGGTTGTCAAAACTCCATCTATGGAGATATTTAAGAGCAGGTTAGATAGACATCTATCGGGGATTGTTCAGATCCGTGGTCACCAATCCGTCGATTGCGATCGACGGATCGATTGGGAGGGCTCTACCAGTTGATTGCGAGGTGTTCAGGGCCCCCCTCCCAAAACTTACCTCCAAAAATGGAGGTAGTGCTGGCTTCCCACGGGGTGGAGGGAAGTCCGGCAGCTGCGCACCACTTCCGGGGTTTCCGGAAGTGCGCTGCCTGCTCCCCTCCTCCAGGTCTGTGGCGCGCCAGGAGGAGTCCCGGAGGAAGGCGTGTGCTGGGGCTTCCGGGAAGGGGAGGCGTACACCGGGGCTCCCCTCCTCTGCGGGGGAGGAGGTAGGAGTCCCGGGGGGAAGTGCATGCAGGGGAGGGAGGAGGAGTCCCAGGGGGAAACATGCTCTGGGGCTTTCCTCCTTTTCGGGGGGAGAAGTCCCAGGAGGAGGCTCTTACCAGAGCTTCCCTCCTCTGGGGGAGGCGCGTGCGGAGGATTCCCTGCCCCAGCCAACACTCTGCCCCCTGTTCCAACTGGCACTCTGCTCCCACTGGCACCCTGTCCCCTCCCCTGCCAGCACCCTGTCCCTTGCCTCCACTGACACCCTGTCCTCTGCCCCAGGCACTTGCCCTAGAACCCACTGGCCCTCTGGCCCTTGCCCCAGCACCCATTGGCACCCTGCCCCAGCACTCTGTCCCCTATCCCGACACCCAGTCTCCTGCCCCAGCACCTACAAGCACCCTGTCCCCTGTCCCAGCACACATTGGCACCCTACCCAGCACCCTCTCCCCTATCCTGGTACCCCCCTGGCACCCTTCCCCAATACCATGTTCCCTGCTCCCACCAGCACAGTTGGGGCCACATTAGTGAGGCTTGTGGGAGTTTTAGAGCAGTTTTTATTTTGCATCTCACTTGTGTGGCCCCAACTGACTTTTCTGTGGGTCAGTGACCCCTCACTCAAAACAGGTTCCCCGCCCTTCTCATAAATAAAGACAATGGAGAAACTTTTTGTGTTTGACATAGTATTTTATTTAAAAATGAAGCCTGGCCAAAAACCCCTAATTGGGGCCAAACCCCCATCTACCCACAGCATCATAACACTCCTGCACTCCCCCTTCCCCCAGACCCTTGATCTGAACCCATCATACACTGGAATCCCCTGCCCTGAGCCCATCACATACGCTAATCCAAATTCCTGCACCCTGATATCCACAACCCTGTGGTATTCCTGAACCCTCACATCCACAAGCCTGTAGCTTGCTTAGTACCCCAACCCTCCATCTGACCCCAACACCGCCCGGCCTAGAGCCCCCTCCCCGAGCCAGCGTCCCCTTCTCCACCTCCTCCTGCGTCCAGATTTCCTCCCAGAGCTTGCACCTCTCACTCCTTCCCACACCCAAAGCCCTCATTCCCACCCCAGAGCCTACCCAGCGAGGGTAAGACTAGACTGCAGGAGATATTCCAGAAAAACTCTTCTGCATCCAGGGATGCGTTTTGCTCTTCCACTAAAAAAAGTAGAAGAACAATGTGCTCTTTCGGTAACCCCTATATTCCTCTTTCCATGAGGAATAAGGGGGCTTCCAAAAGAAGGGGTTTTTCTGACATTTGGTCCAGTCTAGACAGGCCAAATGTTGGAAAAACCTCTTCCTACAGAAGAATTGGGGGAAAAAAGCAGCAGTATAAGGGTTGGGGATAGCAAGTGATGGAGAGGAGGAGAGCAGAGAAGAAGGGGCGGGGCTTTAAGGAAGGGGCGGGGACGGTAGATCTTGGCTTGTTCTGTCATTTAAAAAGTGATCTGGGGTGTAAAAAGGTTGGAGACCACTGGTCTAGATGGTACTGGGTCCTGCCATGAGGGCAGGGGACTGGACTTGATGACCTCTTGAGGTCCTTTCCAGTTCTAGTGTTCTATGATTCTATTTCTATGTGTCCTGTATAGCATTCAGCAAAGTGAGGCCCTGATCCTTTTAGGAATTCTTGAGCATCAAATTAATAATAAATTAATACTAGGAGTGTAACTGCAGCTTCTGTCTCTCTCGTGCACTAGAAAGTTCACAGTATATCTGTCTCCCTGCTGAGAAGTTCTGTTATGTTCACAGAAGCTGGTTTTGTTTCCGATCTCCACATACAGAATGAGGCAAATAAGATCAAGAAGGAAGCAGAGGAGCTGGGTCAGCTCATTGACAGGAAGTTGAAGGATTATGAGGATTTGAGAGAAGACATGAAAGGGAAGGAGCTGGAAGTGAAGAATCTCTTGGAGAAAGGAAGGACTGAACAACAGGTTAGTTCTGCTGTGCACAGGTTCTTACTTCCTGAAGTGACCCTAAGGAAGCAAATTACAAAGCAGATTCGAGACTTAGGGTACGTCTAGACTACATGCCTCTGTCGCCAGAGGCATGTAGATTAGGCTACCAGGCATAGGAAAATGAAGCGGTGATTTAAATAATCGCCGCTTCATTTAAATTTACATGGCTGCCGCGCTGAGCCGACAAACAGCTGATCAGATGTCTAGATGTACCCTTACACTGCTAATAACTGGCTTTGTGGACATGAGGGTGGGCGGAAGGGATGAATAGCAGGCTCTGACCACGAGAGAAGAATGCAGTGGTGTTTGGATTCTCACTGGAAGGCAAGAGCTGCAGGATCTGGGGTGGAGAGGAGGAGTTTGGGGTGCAGGAGAGGGCTCAGGGTTGGGGTGCAGGGATGAAGGCTGGGGATGCGGGATCTGGGCGGGAGTTAGGGATGAGAGCTTTAGAGTACAGGCTTCCCCAGGAAGGAGAGCACTCGCATTCTCTCTCTCCCTCCCCCCCACAGCAGCCCTAGTCAGGTGAAAGGCATCTTTCTGCTAGCTATGGCAGGTCTCTACTGCTGGGATGGTGGGGGGAGAACTTTGCAGTGGCTAACAAGCTTGCCTTTCCCTGGACCCAGCAGGGAGCTGCCTCGGCAGCCCTGAGCTCCTGCGTGAGGCTTATTAGGCAGCTGCATGGCCTCGCTGCTTAGAGGGAACTTCCTGTGCTGAGCACTTTCTTGTGTTGGGCTGGGATTTGCTGGGCTGCCGGCATGACACATTTTTGGTATGGCTAGATCTTGTCCTGCAGAAGAGGAGACTCTGCTGACCTAGGTTGTGTATCTCTAGACTGCCGACCAGCTGCTGGCCCGAGCCGATGCTGCCAAAGCTCTGGCTGAAGAAGCTGCCAAGAAGGGAAGGGACACACTAGAGGAAGCCAATGACATTCTCAGCAACCTGAGAGGTATCAGAGTCTTCTAGGGAGAATATCTGTACATGGTTTGTATAGTGACTGGGCCTCCTCATCAGAGGCAGGCTGGGTTAGGGAGTTGTGTGGTTCAAGCTGTCACTCTTGGAAACTAGCATTTCATCCAACAGTGACCATCAACCTACATTGCTAGATTCTACTTCTTATAATTTAGCCTCCCTCTGCATTCTGCGTACTAAGCCTCAACCCCCTCCCATTAGCAGTCACTGGTATTCTGGAAGCTAGGAGGTAGAAAGCCAATAATGAACTTGGTCTGCTGTCCCTATATCAGTGTAAATCCTGCCCTGATAGTCTGTGCAGTCAGTCAGTATGTCCTGGGTTAATTCCTGTGATATCACCAGCGTGTGTGTCTCACTCCTTTCCAAGCATTGATCTACTTGCCCCTCGTCTCCTGTCATTTTTCTTCCCTCCAATTTAAAGGTAGCATAGGCTGGGCTGCTGGCTGAGTTTCCTTGGCCTGACAAGTGTCTGAGTCTTCCTGAACAGTAGGTCAAACAATGCCTGCATTTTTACCAGATTTTGACAAGCGTGTGAACGATAACAAGACAGCCGCTGAGGGAGCACTGAAGAAGATTCCTGCCATTACCCGAACCATTGCTGAAGCTAATAACAAGACACAGCAAGCAGAGCTGGCACTTGGTAATGCTGCTGCTGATGCCAGGGAAGCCAAGAGCAAAGCAGATGATGCTGAGAAAATTGCTAATTCTGTCCAGAAGGTGAGATTTTCCCAGCACTGTTTGGGTCATTCTTTGTGAAGTAGTGAAATGAATGGAGTGTAAAACAAAAAATAAAACAAGGAGAAAAAAAACCTGCTTTCGGCTCCCATAGATCCTGATGGGACTGTGCACTTACTGAGTTGTGTTAAGCCATGGTGAGCTAATATGACTTTCTGAACCCACTGTGTAAATTCCAGGGGGTGAGATTAGCTAGTGTAAAATCATCTCCTGAATTGTGTGGTTGAGCTGACCTTCCCTTGGGACACTTGCCCTTGGGGATGTAATGAGTGAAAGAAGGGGGTGAAGAATTTTCTTTTGTATCCTATGTGGTGCATCCTTTTTGAACCTTTTATCTCCCTTGTCCTTAGAATGCTGCAAGTACAAAGTCTGAGGCCGACAAGACTTTCTCTGATGTGACAGAGTTGGACAAAGAAGTGGATGACATGCTGAAACAGCTGCAAGATGCAGAGAAGGAGCTAAAGAGGAAGCAGGAGGAGGCTGATCAGGATATGATGATGGCAGGCATGGTGAGTTACTCTGGGAGCTGAATGCAGTGTGTGGGACAGTAGGAAGGCTGGATACAGTATCAGTTAGGGATATCGAATCCCAGTTAATCAGTTAACTGGTTAAACATTAGCTTGTAATTGGTTAACCGACTAGTGGGCTCCTGCTTCCAGCCCCACCCTGGGGCTGAGGCTGGCTTTTTTGGCTTCCAACCCCTGCCAAGTGGGGCTGGAGACATAGGTGCTGGAGGGGCTGCTCCCCGTGGTTAATCATTCCCTAGTTAATTGTTGCCTGGTTATCCGGTTAATCATTACCTGGTAAGCATCAACCAGTAAGGGGTATAAAATCAACTGCTTACCCATTCACATTCCTAGTATCAATGGTGAGAGTTGGTATGTTGGCTCTGTCATTCTTGTTATCTTATTGACTGTCCTGTTCCAAACACATTTGATTCAGGTCTCAGTCTAGTCAGTGACTTTTTCCTCTTAAGTTTTGTAAGAGAATGAAAGAACTAGGATTAGAATATAATGCATCCTTTAACTTTAGCTGCAGAGCACTGTCACAACTTGGGAAAAACAGAGTTCCATGACCTAAGACTTGCCCCATCTGTAAATGAAAGAGCGATTGTCGTCCAATGGAAGCCTCCTCCATTATTAATTTTTCTCATTGAAAGCCAAGTCATTTGATTTTTGTGTTGAGATACGCACGTGCCCATGCGCTGTAATACAGATCTAAAATTGAAATGTTTCTTAGGGGTTATTGTCCTATACGGAGCAGTCAGGGATGCAAAACAGTGTATAGAGTATGAGACTAGCCCTTTGTGTCCTTGTTGGGCAAGTTTCATGCTCTAGGATGGCAAACATTGGATAGGGAAGCTTTGCTATGATGAGAGGTAAATCTGTTATGATCTTGACTACTCTGACATCATTGCATTTGCACCTTTTTTTTTTTTCCCTTACAGGCTTCACAAGCTGCCCAAGAGGCAGACGACAATGCAAGAAAAGCTAAAAGCTCTGTTAACAGTTTGCTCACCCTCATTAATGACCTTCTGGGACAGCTAGGTATATATTTAATTTACAGTTATCCACACCCCTCCCAGAATGCTACTCCTAAACACTTGTGCCTTGTTCTTCAGCATGTTGTTTTATTGCAGAAACTGGAAAAAATTCACAGTTGGATTAGCTTGGCTGCTCACCTGACAATCTGGGTGCTAGGAATTTAATGATCCATTAAGTTATTTATTTCTGAATCAATATTTTATGGGTTATCCTCAAAGGCTCGTTGTGTAGGTGTACTATGTTCATTGCTGCTTTGGGTGAGCATTGCGGATGTGACTCAGTTTCACAGTGTCTGAGACTTCACTGCTTTAAAGGCTAGCAGACATGTTAGAAGGCTGGCAGTTGCTTGTGAGGAGTTTTCTTTGTCCTCTTTTGTTTCCTGTGCTCTGGTTTCTTTCTGCTTTTGGAGGATTACATACATTTTGGTTACTCCCTCTCCTGTGATGGTCTTCCAGCAGAGAAGGAGAACAGGGAAATGATGAAAAGCCTTCTAGATCCTGTTGGATAAATAAGTTCATGATCTTAATTTGCTGCTTAGGGGAATCTAGAGCCCTTTTGACAAGCATGCCCTGGCTCCTTCACAGAAGGAGGAAAAGAAAAGCTCCTGTTCAGAGTAAAAACAAAGGATCGAGAGAGAACCAGGTAGTCCCCTCTACCCTCCTCTCTCTCAGCCACAGTCACCTACAAAGGGCGCCACCAATAGAGTCTCTGATAGAAATTAAAAGTAAAATAATAGCAACAACTGACTTTTGGCTCTCTACAGCATCCTTCAAAAGGCTGCAGGGCTTCAGCTAATTACTATGGAAAGTATTTTCCCTATCTCAGTAAACCCTCCTCTTCTCCCATAGTGCCCTACCCTGGAGTTTTGTCCTGCCAGGAATAGTTTGTCAGAAGAATGTGTATTTACGATAAATGCTTTGCTTTTTTGCATTCTGCTTTATCCCGAGACTTGACCTTAGGAGTTGCTTAAATCCCTCCTATGTTTGCAAAGCCCCAGCCCAGTAACACACTTAGATGTACATTGTACAGTTAGTAGAGAATAATTAACTGTATATTGCACAGCTGTGATTCATTCATAGGGATCACATAACCTTATAAACGATAGAAGCAAAGCTTGTGTTAAGAATGCAGAAGATGTCATTTATAACTTTTTCCACTAAAGAGAATATTTTAAAATGAATTATTGAAAACCGAGGGCCAGATTCTGGGCTTGTAAAAAGCTGCGGAAGACTTGGCCCACAATGTATGCAGCGAGCTAGGATAATTTAAAATCAGCTGTCACGCACGAAAGGTAAAGACTTGATGATATACTTATTGTTTATTCATAGTGGGTTCAGGTAAGTGTGGTTCAGACACCCACTTAACCCGAAACTCCATCTTGTGAAGCGTAATCATAGTTTTGCCTTGTTTCACAGTATTGAAAGTCCCAGTAGCAATTCCAGTTAGTGTTAATGCTGCATGAAGACAGTTATTTCACCAATAAGGTTCCACTGTATTAATCCATCATTTGCATTCTCCTGGGTAAATGCTTTCGAGCAGCCAACAGCCTTGTGAAGTGTTAGTGGAATTCACTGTGTGTGTGCTGCTGATTTTTCTAGGGCAACTGGACCCAGTGGACTTGAACAAACTGAATGAAATCGAGGGTACTCTGAATACAGCCAAAGATCAGATGAAAGATAGTGACTTGGACCGGAAAGTGACTGAATTGGAGGATGCAGCCAGGCGGCAGGATGAAGCCATACAGGCCTATAACAGGGACATTGAAGATATCCTGAAAGACATTAACAATCTGGAAGACATCAAGAAGACCTTGCCATCTGGCTGTTTCAACACCCCGTCCATTGAGAAACCCTAAGGGTGTGCTGGGGGTGGGGTGGGGGCATTCCCCCAGCGTCTGGTGGAGCAATTGTTTGGCTATGGAGTGCCTTAACACACAGATTACCTTCTTCAAATCCCCAGCTCTCCGCTGCTCACAGTTGCTATTTTCTTTCCAAATCAGGAAAAGTTGCAAAGATTTTTAAAGAGAAGCAAATTAAATATCCATTTTTGGGCATCAGAAAGTTTTTAAATAAATTTTCTCTTCCTCAACACTCCACTCTGCCCCTCTCTTATACACACCTCCCTTTGATTTGCACAAGGATGTGAAATGTTTTGGACTACTCTTACTGTGGTGCAGAAACGACCACGTGAGCCGGTGTACAGTGGGGCAAACTAGATCTCGTTTTTCTTCTCTTCCCCCTTACACCTTAAACCCCCCTCAGTCCCAGATTTCTCTGTTTCTATGAAGGAAAGGTTTGGCTATCGAAGTATTACTACAATGGCCAGTATAGCTGCACTCATAAAGAACGCTAATCCCCTTCTTCAGGTATTAACCACCTCCTTCTTTTTTAAACAGATCTACATAAATTAATGGCTAATCAAAAACATTGGTAGCCACCTATCATATGATTTAGCATCTGTCTAGCATGCAGTATACCCCTCTGCTGAGAAGAGAGAGATGCAGCTGTGAGAAGAGCTGGTGGGAGGAAAGGTAGAGGAATGAGGTGATAGATCTCAAAACATTACTGTTGGCCTGTAGAACAGAAATGTCTCTCATCTGTGAACAGCTGCCTGAGCTTTTTCTTCAGGTAGGGAAGCTTGCAAGTGATCAGCTCTGATCTCCTCAGTAATAGCTACTAGGAGTCTCAAAAGAAAACATTCAGGGTTACAGAGAGACAGGGTTTTTTTAAGCCACTAAGATAATTTTGAAGAAGAAAGCAAAGAGCTCTTATCAGTTAGCCTGTCTAAATATGAAGCTGTGATGTCTTCAGATAGAACATGGGTGTCTGTAAGGGTCTGTTTCTCCACCCTCTTGCTATCAGGGGATGGTGTCTTTACACTACAGTATCAGGCTTGCCTTTGTCCAAGGCTGATCTCCCAGTCTTCCTAAAATGCTGCAGTACAGATTGTTCAGACCTGGGTTTTGTGGCAGAAATCCAGCACTCACAGTATTTCACACGGCTGCCGCTTCAGAACTTCTGTCCAACTCAATGTCACCTGCTCCCACCTAGTTAAGCTACCTTGTAGGGTAGGGGGAGGGGTTGCCTTTAACCCCAGCCCCTTGAGTTTTCTCATTAAATCGGTCTGACACTCCCTGCCTTTAAGATTCACATATATCTATCCTTAAACACTATGCAACTTTGTACGTTTGCGTAGCGGGGAAGAAATTATTATCTGACACACACTGGTGCTATTAATTATTTCAGATTGATATTTTTGAGTGAATGTGGGTTTTTTGTTTTGTGTCTGTCTGTTTTATCATGATTACAGAGTGAGGAAGTCTACGTACGTACGTGTGTGTGTGTGTGTGTGTGTGTTTGTGTGTGTGTAAATATACTCGGTCCTATTTCCAGAATGGCACGGTCTGTTCTCTACTTGCTTCCTCTTAGCCATCACCATACATGCACCATATATCTCTGCCACTATTATTCCTTTGAGGTCAGGCATCTCCCTGGCCAGCTTCCTGCTCTCTTCTCTCCCTTATGTTTGCAGTATCTGTATTCTGTGGTATTAACAATAACCTGCTTGCCTGTGTATGCAGCCCAATGATGGGGCACCCAGCCCCCCAAGGAGGACTCTGAAATGTGTAACTCATAAGAGACTCGTTACCTTCTTTGTCTCTGACCAATGGACGTGACATGCTGATTTTGGATGGTTGGGGCTTTGCTCCTGGGAGAGCTGTAGCACTGTTATAGGCCCAGTAGAGGTCTAAGAGCTGAATCTGTAGCTTTCCTACATGTGCAAGAAGTGAGAGCTCTCCTTAGGGCTCTGCCATTGCTGCTGGGCAGAGGGGAGTGGTTTCCAGCCAGCCCTCACATTTCCTACTTCTTACCGTGGGCTTGTTACAATTTACCAAAAACTGACTTGGAATTCTCCTGCCTTGGAATACCCCTAATCCCACAGGTGGAGCAGAGCTGCCTTTGTCCGACAGCACACTTGTGGGACTTTCCTATCAGTATTTCCTGGCTGGCTGTTCTAGTATCGTGGCTGCCTCCTAACCAAGTCACCTCTCGGCCAAGGCTGTGGAAAGAGCAGATACTAAATTGCAATTCCATGCCCTGGCTCACCTCAGGCCTAAGGTTTCTGGCTTTTCACTTTTTCTTAAACTGTTTTTAACAAATTTTTATTTTTTAAAAAAGGTCTTTATAAGCAATCTTTTAATACACTACTGCATTACAGCCCCAATATCTCATTGTATAAGTCCAGTTATTTCTTTGCATAATGTGATGACAAGAAGGCTGCTGGTAGAATGCTGGTTGTCACAGGGGACGCACACCTGTTCCCTCATTTTATTCTTGCCTGTGGCCTCCTCCATATGTGCCTTCACTTCAGCTTTTGCCTTAATCTGTGGTCTTGCTGTCTGGGGCGGTGAACAAAATGCGACACTTGCAGTTTTTTATGTATAAAACAGTATTTCTTATTTATAATAAAGTCTGAATATTTGTAACCCCTTATACTGTGAGTTTCTTTGAGTGTTCTTTATTTGGGGGAAGTGCATGGTGACTTGGCATGTAAAGCTTGCCTTATGAAGGCTAATCAATTCAATCTGTGGGCTCGAATATTTACTCGTCTTTTCTCCTGGGATTGTTTTGGTTTAGCTGGTCTGTGAGGACTTTACCTAAATCTGCTCTTGGAATTTGTAACAGTGAAGAGATCTCATCTCATAATCAGAATCATGCGAGAAGAATTTCAATTCCTACAAGATTCAATTGATGGATGCTAACTTTCTCAGAACTTCCCAAGGCAATAACTGATACTTCATATATGGACTAAGGATGTTAAAGAGTAGTCAACTAGTTGACTATTCGATAACCAAATGCTTATCGGTTAGTCAGTTGACTTGACTAGTCAATACCTCCTCTTCCCCTCCTCCCCCCGCTGCCTCTGTCAGATAGAGGCAGCAAAGGGTGCAGGGAAGAGGGGGTACTTTAAAGGGCAGTGCCACACAACTGAGCCTGGGTCAGCTGTGCAGCACTGCCCCTTTGAATGCCACCTCTGCATTTCAAAGTGGCAGAGCCGCACAGCTGATCCCCAACTGTTTCAAAGAGGCAGTGCTGCCTGGGGCCCGAGGTCAGCTGGGGACTCCCCAACTGATCCCAGGCTCCACGCAGCATTTCTGCGGAATCCAGGATCAGCTGACCCGGGGTTCTGCTGAAATGCTGTGTGAAGTCAGGGATCAGCTGGGGACTCTCCGGACTCTGCGTGGCATTTCAAATCGGCAGCGCAGCATGGATCCCAGGGTCAGCGGGGGACTCTGAGTCCCCCACTGACCCCGTGCTCCATGAGTGCACTTCTGTTTTGAAATGCACAAGAGCCCCTGCTAGCAACTCTTGTACACTTCAAAGCTGGCACACTTGGGAGTCAGCGGGACTTCCCACTGCCCTGGGGCTGCATGCAGTGTTCCACATTCCTCCTTTGACATGTACAGGAGCCCCAGAGGGAGTGCTTATAGACTAGTAGAGTAGTCGATGGAAATTTCATCGACTACTCAACTAGTAAATTAACTGATATTTAACATCCTTAATATGGACTGTGTTCTTTCAGCTGTCCCTGCTTGATTTGATGCAAATGGTAAAGCCCTGCATGGGACTGTTGTTTTTTTTTTAATCCTGTCCTGCCCTGCAAATACCTACACCCACTCCCACCTACTTCTGCATTGTTTCTTGCATTTTTAACCCACAAAAACCTTATCCTCAAATCCCACACGAATGAGAGGTTGTCCTGCCACGTAACAAACCACGCTTCCCTCCCCCTCCATAAAAAGGTGATTACTACATATAAAGTAGAACCTGAGAGTTACTAACACCAGAGTTATAAACTGACCAGTCAAGCGCACACCTTATTTGTAACCAGATGTATGCAATCCGGCAGCAGCAGAGACCGAATAAAAACAAAATCAGAGCCATGTTAAATGAAAACTACTTAAAAATAGAAGGGAAAGCAGCATTTTTCTTCTCCGTAATAAAGTTTCAAAGTTGTATTAAGTCCATGTTCAGTTGTAAGCTTTTGAAAGAACGACCATAATGTTTTGTTCAATGTTACAAATATTTCACTTACAAGCAACCTCTCTTGAGGTGTTTGTAATTCTGAGGTTCTGCTTAAAATGGGATTCAGGGACAAATTTTACCACTGAAAGAATAAAACTAATCTTACGAACACCATATAAAAATACTTTTTAACTCCTGCTACAGTAAGCATCAAATCTTTCTATCCCTCTTAAATGTCAGTATTAAAACTTGTATATGGAGAGTGGGAGAAAAACTTGCTTTACATTGCCAAATTTCTATTTATGACAAACTGACAAAGAGACTTCATGGTTTCCCACAAAGTACAACAGTTTTGGGTTTTTTGCCCATGCAGTTTAGTTTGCACCAAAGTACAATTTACCCACTCCTGCAATGATTCCCATGGGATCCCAGGACTGCTGGAAGTGGTTACTTCTGAACAGATGGCACCATCTTCTTGCTCCAGAGTTGGAGCGCTCTCACCTCAATGTTTTTTTAACCTGCTTTCCTTCCTCTTCTCTCATCTTTCAAGGTTCTTTTATGAAGCTGAAAACATGCCAGCGTGGTTTACTGCCCGCAAGGGTCAGAGAGGAGGGCTCTTTTGTTAGCGATACATCCTTCAAGACAAGTCTGTGCCAGCAACAAAAATCCTGTCCTGGCCATAGTCCAAACAAAGCACGTACGTTTGAAAATAAAAAACCCAAAGTCAGTCGCATGTGACTGTGGCAATAGTTAGCTCTCTCACTGGGCACATGAAGGAGTTTTAGTTCTTTTGGCTCAAAATAAAAGCAGTTTTTTCCTTGTCACTGAAGGGTAAGTGTATATGGCGTGGCCCCAGGCCTGCCAATGGGAGAGGGTGGGGGCAACTGTCTTGTGGCCTGGTGATTCAGAAGGGCTCAGGGTTCCCATCCTCTGCTGTTGTGGCAGTGGCTGGAGCCCCGCGCTCTTGAAATCACCACTGGTGCCCCAGGCAGCACGCTCTGGGCAGCGCTGACAGCTGGCTGCTCCCAGTCCCACCCCTTCTGCCTCTAGCCCTGCCACTTCTGGGAGCATGGAGCCAGGCCCCCTACCTTGCCCACGGGCCCAGCAAGTGTGTGGCTGGCTGGATGAGTGAGGGTGATCATCACCCATGGAAGAACCGAAGGGTCGGGGTGTGTGTTTGTGCATACCGTGAAGGTAAGGTCTGCTCTACCTTGAGTGGAGAGGCTGAGGAGGAGACGTGACTCTGAGCTGAAAGGACACCACCCTCGTCTGGGTAAAAGGGGAAGTTTTGCTTTTGATGTTTAAAATTCTGTCTTGCAGAATAGAAAACCCCAGTGATCCTAACATTCCATGGACTGTTCAAAGGGACCTCCACCACAATCAGCGGCATGAAGTAAGCTTATGCTCCCATCTCCCCAGATTCCATTCATTCATAAATTTCATGGATGCTTAAAGCCTTAAGCCAGGGACCACTATGATCATCTAGTCCGACCTCCTACAGATCACAGAATTTTCACTCAGTAATCGCTGCATCAAGTCTACAATTTCTGGTGGCACTACAATGGATCTTTCGGAAAGCCATTCAGTGACACAGAACCCACCACGTCCATCAGCTGTTCTGCTGGTTAAAAGTTTCCTATTTCTAGTTTGAATTTCTGTAGCTTCAACTTCCGGGTGTTTGGATTTTGCGATTGTGTTCTATTAGTTCCTAGGCCTTGCCTAGATTCAGATTTTGAGCTGTGACACTAGCATCCAGTGTGACCTGCTCCTATCTGGTTAAGTTTCCTTCTAGAGTAGAGGGAGCAGGTGCCTTGCCTCCACCCTTTATTGAAATGGTGGCAGCTGCTGGAGTTTTTTCACTGGATCTGTCCACTCCGTCCTATTT